GTTTGACAGATGTGTTCTGCACAGAACCCAGAAAGCTCAAGCTTTCCATGTAGGCTTTGCTGGATTTAAAATCTTTACATTCACCATAATGAGAAATGAGAATACATATGTGTAGGATTACAGCTTATTTTTTTAAAACTTTGTGATGACTATTTGTTCAGGTTATTGTGAAAAGCCCCTTTGTGGTTTGATATGTCTAATTCTGTTGATTTTGTGAAGGTTTTTGACTGTGTTATGGAAGAGTCCAAATACATGTACAATCAATATATGCATGATTCTGGAAGGGTTAAAAGCAACTAAAACCAAATTCTGAAGTTAGGGTATGTCATGTACTGCATTTAATGAACRTTTAATGAACATTCACTGCGTTTAGTGAACAGTGATAGTGAATTAACAGACCCATCTATTTCAGTGAATGCAGAACTTCTTACATCTAARAACTCTTTGGAGAGAGGGAGTGAAAAATATTTTCAGAGTTTAAAGTGGCTCTGAATTTTTTCCATTGTYCATAAATACTTGACACATTTTTGATTAATGTCATTTTTTGCATTAGCGATTATTGTGGTATCATAAGCAAAGCAGTGAAATCTATTTTTATATGGAAAAGTGCAAAAACCTTGTAAGTGGGAAACATAAACCAACAAGAGTCTGAGCTTCAGATATTCCATCCCTAAAGAAGAATCTACGATTTCAACACCTTTGCTGACACAGGACTTAACAGAAAGACCAACTGTTCTTTTAGAGGAATTAAAATTAAATCTAGGATATCTGTGATCACCAATACTTGGTTATGCTGATGTATTTGCCTTCCTCTGCTGTGCATCATGTTTTACTCCTGTTACATCCCTCAGGGAAGGGGGTGCAGGAGGTGGCCTGGCTGGTGCCAGGGCCTGTGCTGGGGGGCCAGGCAGAGCATCTGCCCTCCAGGACACAGTGAGTAGTTGAGGTGGGCAGCTGGCAGCATCAGATAGTATTAGTTGGAAAAAAAGAGGATTTGGAAATCTGTGAGTGATTGTTAACATAAGTGTCTAGTATTGGGGGTTTGTCTGTTGAGCTTTGAATACTGATCCTGAGAATTAGTTAATTGCAGGTTGTTAGCAAATCAATAAACCACTTCAATCCTAATTTGCTGTAAAATACCTAAACTGAGCAGTTTTTCCCCTGCAACAGGTAATAGTAATGAATAGTTTCTCTTACAAACTGTGTAAAAGTAAATGACTTCTAGAAATGTATAATATTATAGCAGAACCCCTGCCAAAAGTAAGATAAACATCAGAAATACTTGGGTGGTAAATTCAATTTCTTTGTCTAGCAGATTATTCTAAAGTGCTTTTAAGCTTTTGCTAATCCTAAGGAATAGCAGAAACAATGAAATGGGGATGCATCTTGCATATTTAAAAAAAAAAACCAAAAACCTGCCCAAAAGCTAGCACATCAAAAATGTTCTAGGTGTCAAATTCATAGTTACACACTAATTCTTGCATCTTGGCTTATTGTCTTTGGTTTATAATTTTTTAATTAGATGATGAATCTTAATAAGATGAAGATATGTTTTTTAATCAGAAATTAGTTTTCAGGCCACTAGCATATTTACATAAGTAATACTGAATGCGGCCCTTAGTTAAGATTCACAGTAAATTAACTTTTCCCTTAATATGAATGATATTTTATAGCCACTTTATCTATAATAGAACACAAATTAGTCTGAAATAAATCTTACAAGAGAAATATATTTTTATCAATAAAATTAGCTGTGACAATTTGACTTGAAAGGAATACATAAACTTGGAAATCAGTTCACAAAAATTTTATGCGTTAAACTTGCTTCAGGGGAACTGTAGAGCTCTAAGCCAAGGTAGAATATCTTTTCTTTATAAGTCAGTTTTTTAAAGTTCAGAAACTTGTTCAACAGCTCTGTGGTTTGATATATAAAGTATAGTTTTTAGTTAAGTTGCAATACGCTAGAAAACAAACTAAATTCATAATTACTTCCCGTATGACGCCTTGCAGTTTGAACCATCAATTATGAAATTTGTTTTAATGAACAGTGGTGCATTACAGAGTTACAGAAATGAATGAAGTACTGGAGGTAATGTTTTTCTAGAATCAAGTAGATTTTTAAGTCTTTATCTCTTTCCCCACTAACCCAAATGAAAGTGCACTGCTTCCAACAAAGTAGTTTAGTATTATAGTCATTATGAAAAGCCTTGAGTAAGGCTGCTTGGTGCCTAATGTTGAAAAAATGTGGAGCTGCTGGGGAGAACAATAAATACCTGAAGCTGACATGGAAAAAAAAAATTATGTAATCATTGGCACTATTTTTCAATTCTTTGTTTCACTGCAGATCATGGATGTTTCAGAATTCCAGATACATTTAGAATGTCGAACATTCTGGAATACATGTTAGTACGTTTTGGAGGAGAAATGCATGTTAGAAGTGATTATCAAGTCACAGATGGAGGTCAACCTATTTGATTTCTCAGAGAAGGAAGAATAGCTGAGCTACGTGTATGAAAARATGTAATAACGTACATATAAATAATTAGAGGAGAGGAAGAGRAGCTGAGGAAGAAGGATTGGTTCAGATGAAATCTTTTAAGCAAAGATCTTGATTTATTAAGCTGAAATAAGGTGGTAATGTCACAGTCCTCTTAAAGGCTATCACTGATCCGGTTTTCCCAAGAAATACCAAATTTGGGTTCAGTTCACTCATTTGCATGAGGAGATTTGACTCCTGTCCAGGAACTCACTGTAAATGTGAGGAGGGACTTCATTTGATTAAATTAGTGTTTCTCTTTGAAAGTTTATATCTATCATCCTTTTTCTCATTGTGAAATCTACTGTAATGAATCAGTATTTTCTCATGTAGGAGAAAAATATCTTCATTTTCTAACAGAAATTGGCATATTTTAATATTAAAAGATCTTGCGTTAGATTTTCCTGTTACTAAGCTTGTTAAGATGTATCAGACTCTCCAAATGTTTAATTTAATGTGAGTAGTATTGCCTGCAGTAATGCTGCTAAATCTATTGCTTAAAGATAAATTTGGATAAAGAGACCTTTTCTTTGCAAATTACTTCTGAAAAGATATCACTGCCCCTATAAAATTTAATTTAATTAATCTTGAGGCAGCAGAGTAGGAAGAATCTGATGTTGCTTAACACCACTTTTGTGAATATTAATATTCAATAAAAATATTCTTTTGTTTRTTCATTAATATTAAAACATTCAGAACTCCAGCTGTTGAAATTGTAGCTTTTATTCCTCTCTTCTTGTCAATAGACTCCCATAATCCTAAATCTGATTTGTTCTAAATTTGTCCTAAATAATAACATAGAACAATTTTTTTGTATAAATGTTGAACAAAAACATCAATAGTAAAAAWTCTAATAATGTCCTAAATGGAAATTACTGTGAAACCTTAGCTTAAGGGAGAAGAGAATTAGTGAATTTGGGAGGCATTTGCCCTCRATTGCACTTGAAGTATACTGTGTGTCTGTGTGTATGATACGAGAATCAACATCTATAGGAGCTGACACTCTAAATAACATAATTATGCTAGAATGGGTAAGTAGAAGTACAGTTTTTTTGGATAGAATTTAATTTCACTGTAAAAAAAAAAAAAATTAGAAACCTTCTTTTATAAGACAAAACAGAAACCTTCCTTCCCTCACCACTACCTCTCCTGGTAATTAGCGCAATGAGCAGGATCACGTAAGCAGGATTTATTTGGATAAAACAAATTCAGACCTGACGTTRTCCAAGTAGATTTTCCTGTGTGTAGCAGAAACTGGAAGAAAGTCCCCACTTTGCAGCACCCTTGGACTCGCCGTTGGTGCTGCCCGCTCCCGTAGAGGGGGGACCTGATGGCCCAGCTCCGTAGGGATACCATTTTCCCTGTGCCCAGGGACTTCCTGCTGACACAACGTATTTCTAAGTCTTGTGGCATCATTCGTCCTGACATCACTAACAGTTTCAGTCCCATGGAGGTTTGATACWGGGGAGCTGGAGCCAGCCTCTATCCACGTGAACAACTTGCCGTCTTTATGTACAGCTCTAAAACACAAGTTTTGGCTTCAATGTTATCTCGTCTTGCAGCAGCAATTGCATTATACTTAGGACTGCCAAATCCTGGTAGGTAGGATGTAAGTTCATTGAGAGTTGTATACGCAGCTGTGAGACAGCTAGGAACTGGCTGGTTGTGTTTGCTGTGACATTTTTCTTTTTATCAGTCATATTTTAAAAGAATTTCTGTTCTTTAATTTTTCCCCCTTTTGTCGTTGGATTGTAGATGAGTAAAGGGACTATGTTCTTCATTAGCTGCTACCTGAGAGAGAGATCATAAACTGTTTTGAACAAATTTGCTGTGATGCATTGTAAGAGGCATAAAAGAGGAAACATCAATGGTTATTAGGATAGATACTACAGACCTCAACAACTTTTCTTAAACYTCTTGACATAATTAAAGTTGAAACTAAGTTCTTGGTACATAATCTCTCCAGTCTGGGCAACATCTCCTTATGTGATTTTGTTTTGATAACTATTTTCCCCATGAGAAGTGTTACGATGCAGTGACAGCATATAGAAAAATAGAGCATTTATAGATGAATATCTATGTTGATCTACTTAAAATGATTTTCAAAGCTGATAATGCTGTTCTTTGGAGCACACTGTTGGTGTAAGAAGTCTTTTTGAGCATGGCAGGTTAATCACTATTAGGAGCAAGACCTGTAACTGAGCTAATACATTTCTAGAAACATTAAAGTTGACATGCTGCATCTTAAGATATACTTCTGCTCATGTTACCTTTAGAGTACAACTTTGCTGAAATAGCTAAAGTATATGAATAAAAGATAACTAGTAAAGAGGAGAAAGAGTGAGTCTAAACAATTTGGATGAAGAATGAACAATCATATTTTTAAAAATGGTGCATTTTGATAAGTTTTCACTTCAGGTAATTTTTTATACCAAACTGTGGTTTTCTTTCTTAAATATTACAGGCACTATTAAGAATTACTTCAAGCTTGTGAATGCTAGTTCCTAAGAGGTAAGATGAAACAGATTGTTTTAAAATTGTTGTTATATCTTGTTGCAGTGAGAGACTTCCCACATTCGGTCTTGTGTTTTAGAAAAGATATTCTGAACAGTCTACTTGGAAACTCTGACCTAATAGAGCTAAAAAGGTGTGTATTGCACCATGAGTGTTGCACAGTGTGTACCAGATGCGTGTGTGTGTGTTGCTGATTGATATAAAATAGGTGAGGCCTGACCTAGAACAATACTGCAGCTTAATTCTGTGTTTGTAGAGATTACTGTTTTTAATTCAAAACTCTGAGACTTTACATTATATGGATGTCTTCTAGAAGCTAGGATGAAGTAATGAAAAACAATTTCCTATCCAGTGTGACTGTCACAGGTAATATAACAGCTGGAGATTTACAGTTCTGAGATGAACAAATTGATGCATTCACCTGTAGAATGCAGATAAAAATGAAGAAGGGAGTGGGAAGTTAAATGAGTGAGCATCCAAAGGGGAAAAAGTGAATGGCAAGCAGCAACATATTCTGCTGCATTAGAAATTCTAATCACTCATTAAAATGTCTGATGGAAAAGTTTACTCTGAGCAAAGGTTTTATAAGCATCCTAGAGCAAAGTTGTAGTAAAACTCRAGCAAGGACTTTAGATACTACGATAAGAACCAAATACTTCTCTGAGATTATTACAGGTGCATTTCAGCATGCAGTCATTTGCAGATGCACAAATCTGCAGATGCAGAATGACTATTCTAAAATGACAATATGGAAGTTCTGCTGTTAGAACAGAACTGATGTTCTTTTRGTCAGTCAGGAACAGAGTAAAGCACAAATAATTGAACTCAGGCCCAAAAGCTGGGATTTTGGTGCATTAGCTCARCCTACCTGCAGTACAGAAATCCCACAGTGCTTCCTAGTACCCAGCTGAAGATGAACATCCAGAACCTTTATATCCACCTGAAGTTTTTCAGGGCAGCCTGCTTTCATGCTCTCATGGAGCCCAAGCATGCAGGCAAATAAGCCCTTGTTTGATTCCAGAAATCAGGGCCCGAATAAGACATACACCAAGAAAATAAGCATTATTTCAAAACTTACTTGTTGCTACTTTCTCTCTAGTGTGGATCTTGAGGATCAGTTATGCTGCCTTTCATAGTAGAGTTTGAACTAAAGACTGAAGTAGAATTTCCTTAGCCTGGAGTGGTATGTGAGCTGTCCTAGCTGCTGGCTAATTGGGTAGTTCATTGGGCATTTTCCTCTTCCTTAATACTGAAGTCTTACTCTGAGACCACAGAAACTGCCTGGATTCTTTCTTGGCTGACAATGTAAAAGAGATGTACGTAAGCTAAAATTAATTGCTATTATCTTTGAAAAAAGCTTTCCAGGTTATGAATGCTATTTTAACATAAAACAAAACAAAAAGCAAAGAGGAAGTATTAAACATTTTTTTTTGATGTGACATGATCAGAATAGTATGTGCCAATGTGCTGTGTGGGTTTTCTCTACTTGTAGTAAATTAAGGAAGAAGTAGCCCACAGCTTCCTTTCCAAAATGAGTTGGTCAGATGTAAATTACCTACCTACAGCTCATTTAGTCACCCTTAAGTGAATATCTAACATGAGTAAAGGTCACATTTCACAAAGTTTTCTGGGCCCAAGTCATGTCTCATCGGTGATCGTAGCAAATATCCTCTCCTGTAACTTCACATTACATGTGTAGTGGAAATACCTATGAAGAAAATGCAATGTGCATATGTGGCATATWGATTTTCTTGCTCGGAGTTTTAGCTTTGCATAAGCCAGTAAAAGGTTCAGAAATGAGTTCAAAGGCATTTAATAGTGAGGAGCCCTTTCATGCCTAATTTGTACTCCTCAGCATAGTTTCAAATGCAAAGGTCTTTGAAAGAATTTCACAAGAACAGCTTYACAGCATGGGAGGAATGATCTTCCCATTCTTTTCTTTTTTACTCTTTCTTTATAGGTTGCATGACTTCTTACCTTCTCAGCAAATGTGTATCTTTCATCAGAAAAAAGCCTTGATTTCCTCATTTTAAATGTTAACAWCTTGAAGAGGATTTTGAAAAGGAATGTGCATTCTTGAATTATAGCAGCTGTCTCCAAATGAACTGTGATGGTTGAACCTAGTTTTTCTCATGAGGCAAGTCGCTTCTGGCTCCCCATCTGGATTACCCCTCAATGAAAACTACAATTTATCAGTTGGTAAAAGTGCATGATTGTTCTATTAAATGGGTAAATTATTTGCTGAAACGTGGTTATTCATATTTACAGATGAATTACTAGTGTAAAAATGACCAAAGATTTCTTTGATTTGACAATGTTTTCTGCTGATAAACTGTTAAACTCGCTTTGAAAATTCACTTTGAAAAGAATTGTGCACAGTGTAGATTTATTACTCAACAGATGCTCATCACATTGCTTAATGCTTTATTTCATGGTCTATATTCTCCATCCATTCTGATTCTTAAATCTACACCCAATTCTTTTTAAACATCTGGTGCTTTTTCTCTTCCATGTTTTWAAAATAATAATTTGTTTGGACAGCGTGTTTCTTCTTATACTGCTCTTAATCCTCATGGGTGTTTGGAATATAGGCAGGAGAACAGAACTTCTATGATTAAATGTAAAGATGTTTGCAAGATTGTTTTATTCTAAGATAAATTTGAGTTTATTTTTCCTGTAATGACATCATCTGCTGGCAGCCTTTGACATAAATCTGCTGTTGCTGGGAGCTTGGGCTGCATGTCCTTGCAAAAGGAGATTGTTCTGTGAACAATAGATCTGTGTACAGACTTCAAGGTAAATTAAAACTAAACAGACTTAGATTTCTTTTTYGAAGCAGACATTAATCTTGGAAATTTTGTTAGAGTATATTCTCAAGTCGTGCAACATTTTGACGTCAACTATTTGCCACATGCTATATCATACTGATTTGCTTTTTAGTAAGCACGTGTACCTAATGTGGTTACTGTTATAACATCATCTGAATGGCTAATGTTGCATTACTGAAAATAAGGGTGAYGTTTTTGACATCTCAGTGGAAGCTTTTTCCTTTTTTATAATGAAAGTATTCTTAGGAAACTACAACACAAATATGAAAACTGCAGTAATTTGCCATGTTGATACAACAGATACTGGACTAAAAGAATGGATTTATAGATTACGTTCACTTACAGGTTTGTTTTGGCAAGGATTAACTAGCTGTTTTTAATGATGTGCAATAATATCTAACTACAGACAATCTTATCAAAAGACTTTCTCCTCAAAAATATCATTTGATTGTATTTTTGAGGATATTTGATCAAAATAGAGCTAGAAACATATCTAAGTTCACTAGGGAAGAGTCACCAAACATTGTATATTGGGCTGTATACCACACTGGTTTTATACCAGATGGTTCTATACCATCTGGCTTAGGCTGTAAGTTACTGCATGTTCCAGTCTTCTCGGTGAAATTGCTAAACTATGCTTACCAAAAAAAAATGAAGGACAACATGTGCTATCTTTTTTACTAGATTCTAGTAGGCTTTCAGCTACAAACAATGTTGTAAATGTTGTAAAAGCTTCTTAAATCTACAAGTGCACATTTCCCTTCCTTGAAAAAGGAGAAAAAGAAAGGGGGGGGGAGGCAATAAAAGAAATAGAAATCTATGAAATTTAGTGCCATAATGATCTAATGCAAAGATGTGGTCATTAAAGCTAGGAAAAAAACATAAAGCAAACATTGTAAATCAGCTCTTCTTCCTTTGAGATACTGATACTCTTTCTTTGCTTTTGTAGCTGTGTGAAGGTGAAGCTCCCTACACCTGCCCTCTGAGGAACTCCTGGCTTTGCCTGGAGAAAACATCACATCTGTTAAATTATACATCTCGTTCATTCTTCAACCCGGGTTGATGGTGAAAACTTTACCTTTACTTCCTCATCTTTAATACCTCCAGCTGTTCCTCTTTCCCATGAAAGAAAATCTGTGTCTCTTTGCAGTGTGATTCAGAATAGAGAGAGTGAGAGTGCAATTCCCAAGGTATGCCTGACCTACTACCACTATTAATGCTTAAGTTTGGGGCAGTAAGGTCTCCTGCTACAATCTCAGCTCTGCCCACCTGCTGTGCTGTAGTTCCTTCTCCCCTTCTGTAGAGGTTTGTCCAGCGTGGTGCTAAGAGCGAGCTTCTGAGTAGGTTTCATTTCCAGTAAAGGAGAATAAGGATGGCAAAGCACCCAACTTTCTCAGCTTGTTCAAATTAAAGAAAAAGTTCAGACGTGCTACGGTAATCTGTGCAACAGTGCATTTATCCTGCTGAGAGGCCTTCTTGGAAGCTTCAGCTAGAAGCAACCCTTCAAATTACTACTAAGTCTTTTTTCATTTCTGTCTGCCTTTTCTGTAATACTACAAGGCAGCTGTCTTCAGTTAAGGACATTCTCAGACAGGTTCAAGACTAGACAATAACCCTTTTGGTTTTCCAGGTACTTGGCTTCCTATCAGCTCACCGTCTGGAAAGCTCAGTTTGCCTTTTTTGTTAGTATACTGTATTGCTTCAGGATACGAGYGTAGTGGAGGCTGTCAAATGCTGTCTTCAGCATATGAATGTTAATATCTGTGACAAAACATGGATGGCACAGCTAGATGCCTCATGAACCCTAGAAAAATGTTAAGTATGAAATAGAATAAATTTATCAGTCATCTGTTGAATCAGTCAAATTTTGAAATTTCTCTTTATCAATGTCATCTGTGAAGTTATCTAAAAATATAAAGACCTACTCAGAACCTGTAGTATCTGCCATGGGGTGACTTTAGCAGGAAACAACAAGGCCTTGTTGTAGGAGCKTGTCTGCCAATCTTGTCTCCAAGAGCCAGAACACCCTGGGCACTGAGTAACAAGAAGTTTGGCTTCAGAAAGCGGAAAAAATCTATAAGCAGTGGGTTGACAGTTTTCATGCCAATCACTAGTTATAAAATGTGTTACTGGCACATGCAAAATTTCAGTGACTTTTGAAAAAAATTGATATATTACAAAAATAATTACAGCTTATTGACCATTTATTTCTTTAAGAGCAGTACCATTTAAGTTTATCTGATACAACAGAAAGCTTTTCATTCAYTTCTCTACCTTTATTGGGGACAGACTAAGCAGAGAAACATCAGCCACCTCACTGATGTGTTCACATCGTAAGCAATTACCTGGCATGCAGTAGCTATAGCAAATTTCACTTCGCTTAACACCATGAAGGGATTCTTGATGAAGATACTTGTAAAGGCTTTTCTCTTAACAATAGGCAGATCATTTGGGCTTCATCTCTGCATTGGATTTCTAGTGGTACTGCTGAAATAACCGTGAAATAAGCAAAGTTATACAAGTGTGAAAAATGATAGAGATGGTGTAAGTCTGGCATTTGTRTTCTACTTTCTGGAATGTATTAGTATCTAGGTAGATAATCTGCTAACAGAAATTGATAATTGACTGAAATAATTAAAATAAAATCAGATAGATAGGAAACAGAATGGGGGAAAAAAAAAAAAAAAAGGTACTGCTTCTGAAATATATGGAAGCTCTTCCAAAGCTTAATGATTCCGGGATCTAGCTTAGATGTGTGCCCTCCCCATGGTAAAGAGGGTCTTCAAGCCCAGCTTAGAGGCATAAATACCAGCTTGCTTTTTTTAACAAAAGATAAGCTAGGACAATATGTGCTGTGCTGTTTAGTATGCAGAACGTGGAGCTTATGGTGCTGAAAGTCAAACATTAATACAGAACATGATTAAGCACTTTCTGTCTGAAAGGAGAACTGAAAAGGTGGCAGTTTTCTTAGCCACTGTTCCATGGAGCCTTACTCTTTGGGAAACATCAACTATGACTTTTATTATTGTAATAAAATTAATCATATTAAAGTCTTATATAATTTTGCAAAAGATAGATACTTGGAATTACATTTTCTTTCTTTTTCAAATGTATTTGATGAAGCACCAGAAGACTGGGAATGGTGAAGTCTCTTTTAAACTTTTTATCTTGCTAGTATTTTGTCAGTCTGAAGTACATAGAGATTTAGATTCATTTTCCCAAGAGACTGCTGTTTCTCTGACAAGTGCTGAAATAGCAGTTGACATCGTTAATAAGAAAATGGAGCCAAGGAATGGAATAGGAGTAAATGAAAACAGCAATTAATTTGATTCTATTTTTGATTAAAAACAAACAGATACTGTCATGAGTTGTAATTCAAAAGACTGCTATGATAATGGATTTAATCCTTGTCTGTGATCAGATATTAGAGGTTATTCATGACCAGTCTTTACTGTTTCAGAGCTCCTCTGTTGCAAAGCAGATAACTGATACTAGGAAGTGAGTAAAGTAACTTAATGGTTGATGTACTGTTTTATAAAATAATTTCTGAGTTTTTTCCCTGTTTTTAATAATTATTTTAATAATAATAATTTCTGTTTTTCCYCTGCAGAGAATAATTAATCATTATTTTCAATGAAATATTAGATTTTTAAGTCTTTTCTTCTGTATTGATATTTTTATTTCTAAATTAACTGTGGCAGTTCTATTAATTTCATGTTCATTTTTCATATGCAGATGTTCAGTATACTGTATGCTTTGTTTGCTCATATGCTCATGTTTTCTGCCTTGTTAGTTAGATCACTATGAATTTAATTAAATTTTTTTCCATTCTAGAGCTCACTGAACTGTTCTAGGTCATCTGCAAATCTTTCAAATCATTGCACTCTTCCTATAAAACACTTAAATATCTTTTAAAAGAACAACATCAAGTGGCTTGACATTCTGACTTTCAGTTATCTAACTTTATCAAAGTTAATGGACTGAGGCTATTCAATGTTAACTATCTGCTTGATCTAGRTATTTCTTTTTCAAAAAAATATCATTAGGGTGGGAAGGTGTAGTTCTCTGAGTCATCTGCTTCTTAGACTGAGAGGAGGGAAAATATTTAGGCAAAAATTATGATATTTTTAAGTCTTTTTTAACAGGGATGTGAGACAGAAAATCTGTTTGTATTAGCAATATTTTGTACCATTCTGGAAGGTTCATGTCTCCAAACCATGTGTGACACAAGTTGTTTAATGCTGAATCCTTAGTGTTAGTATTTACTAATCTGAACGCTCATTGATCTATGCCTAACATACGTAAACTTTCCTCACAGGTATAAAGAAAAAGCTATTTGGTGAAGGAGGATGTGCCAGTGACAGTAATAGAAAAGTCTTTGAGGAAGCTAACAGTGTGGATCCCTAGTGAATGGRTGCACGTTTGATGGGGCATGGTTTGAGTAGCGAGGGAGCTTCAACTAGGAAATGAGATAGAATAGGGAAAAYTGGAGGTAGGTCACTGATAAAATGCAGTGAAAAACTTGCAGCTGGTATTCTTAAAGCCTTGGCACTTCCTTTTTAAGAAATCTSTAGAATCAGTAGTTTGATTTGGTCCAAGTCTTGCAACGCTGGTGTATTCTGCGAACTTGGAAGAAGGTGATCAGTTACAGGCTTGCAGCTGGTACTGCCTCTGAGAGCCTTTCAGGGTGTAGCAGGGCTCATCCCTTTTTTTTTTCCCGCATTTTAAATCCTGAGGGATTATTCAAGATGTTATACTCTTTCTTATAGCAATTTTATGGAAATTTCTAATCTCTATGATTACCTAGAGAAGCTTAGAAGTGACATCAGTGGTTCTGAAAGTCAAGCTTGGGTTCCTTGTGCATGATTTCTGAGGACACAACAGAGAATTTGAAGTATTTGGAAATGATATTGCCAACTTTTGACATTTAGGGATTTAATTTGTTCTACAGTATCTTCTGTACTTCCAGATGAAGGAARCCTTCCATGCAGGCAATTTGAATGTGAAATTGTTTGCTG